ATCTTATCTATTTGAATTTCCCATGAAAGTATTTTTTTTAAAACAAATTCCCCAAAATTTTCAATTATCTAGAATTTATAGCATTACAAAGTAATTATTTAAATTAATATTAAGATTGTATTTGCTATCTGTATAGACATGAAAATTAAAAATATGTATAAAAACAGAAATTAGTATTGACTGACTCCACTGACGGAATAGTTGCAGCATTAAAAATACTTTACAGCTATTAGTGGTTAAAAGTAGCCTGCAGAACAAGAAAAAAAACAAAGCAGGCAGCAGAGTGGGGTGGCTTTGAAAAATGTGCTCAACTTGTATGTATATTTATGCATAAAAGCAACACACTAAAAATGCTGAATGTTAAAAAGTTTAAAGCTGCTGGAAGGAAGAAACTTCCATAAAGCTCATTGTACATTTCTACAATGGTAAAGAGCTCATTAACTCTCCAAACAATTCATGCATAGGGTTGGAGACACTGTCCAAAATGTTATTTTTACATGAGTCCACCATCTCTCTCAGCTGCTCCAATTAACTCCTCCACAGGGACATCAAATGCCTTAAAGAGCCTCTCTGGCAGTCAACTAGATCTTTACTTCTTCAGCAGGTTTCTGCTTTGAACCTTCTTTTAAATATTATTTATAGTTTGTTCTGTTTATTGTTTAAAGGTGGTTATCAAGGTATTTATAACAGTCCAGTCTCTCAGTATCAGCTACCTGGATGCTCACCACACAATGTTACTCAGGTGCGCTTGCACATGCAGGAACTCCACCAGCAGCTCCTTGCTTTTCTCTATGGTAGCCTCCATCTTGGTGTTCCCCACAGACCTGCCTGAGAGATAAAGATCCAGTATCCAGTGGGACAGATGGAGGCTGACTCCAAAAGTTTCAGCTTGTCTTTAAGAAGTCTGGGGTGGGAGGAATTAAAAATACAATTTCTAATACTATCTTATAATAAACACATTGGATAAACAATAGCATTTTATATACTTTAATGTGGGGATAGCCTATTAAATGTCCAATGACATAAACTAATGTTAAAATTATTAGTTCTCTTGCGATATGAGAGATTTCTGCAAAAAATTCCTTCATGCCTACAACTATTAAAACTTATTGATAAAAAACAAACAAACTCTAGAGTTACGACTGTAATTAACATCGCTTTGTATGTTTCTCTAAATTTAAATTAATCGAATAAAACTGTTCCTGTAAGTTAAATGACCTTATAACACCTTCTTAGACATATCTTCTGTGTATTCTGTTCTCTTGTCTTACTTAATTTAAAAGGAAAGCTTGGAAATAAAGTAATTACTTTTCACTAAATCGCCGCGATGTTATCTGTTAGAAATTATTATGTTTAATAATTTATTTAGTTATACACACTTTTAGCGAAAAAAATTCATTTCTATTACAAAACAAAGATGTTCGAGTTTTTTTTTGTACTCTGAACGCACCACCAGCCTTTTTGATGACTAGCATCTACCCATAATGCACTGCGAAGGAGCATGGTTGACTTTCTTCTAGGAGTGTCAGTCCTGTGAGAATGAATCCGTCGTCCCTTCGCTGAAGCTGCTGATATTTCTTAGCGACTGATTTTAAAAGCTGTGAAGTACCTTTATATATGTTATTATTATGAAGCAATAATTTAATCGAGTGGAACCAGAAAACGTCTTTAAAACCCGGTGAGTGGTCGCTACTGAGGCTAAGCTAACAAGCTAGCCTGTCAGCAGCAGCATCAGTGACATGAATGTAAAGCAGCTCTTCTGTGTGTGAAATGCAGTGAGGCTGATCCTGTGAGGCTGTAGATGTTTACTCGGTGGTTGGAGTTGAGGCCCGTTATTCTACCCGGATTTAATCATCCCATTTGACAGCAGACGTCATCTGTCAGCTCTATGTCGGCCTAAGCTAACACCGAAAAATATTAGTTCATTTTTCCTCTTGGCGACCATATAAAGTCTCTAATAAATCACCATTTACATTGAACTTAGGTTGTTTAGCTTTTCTGAATAATCTTTAAATGCACCGGTTAGATTCAGTTAAATCAACAACGCTTGGTTATCTTTGAAATGTATATTATTCTGGATAATCCAGCTTAATCTCGATGTTTATCACCACCACTAGATGAACTAATCAAATATTATTTGTAATATATCTCTTTTGTGTTGGGACAGAGTCTGTACTTGGTTATTTTTTCCGCATTATGGATTATTTAAGATAAATCGTTGACATATAACTGATTTCCCTGTAACATGTTAAAGTTGCAGGGCTTTCTGTCAGTTCAAACATTAAAATTCTTTAGACCAGGTCATTTTTTTGTTTCTTTCCCTGAAAATAACTTAATAAACAGCTCCTGGTCTTTCCTACAATGTTAAATTACTCTTATTTTACAGTGAATCGTTGTCAGGACTGGAGGCACCATGACACTATAGTTGAAGATTTCACTCCTATTTAATCTCAATAAAAATTAGGACTGAAACAATTCAGTGGATGAATCGATTTTGAAATAATTGTCAACTAATTCAGTAATTGGTTAATCATTAACTGGGGCATAGAGATTCTAAAACATGCCTTTAGATGACAGGGTGACCCACTTTGAGCAGTTATATCAAAATTGTAACAAAAATATACAGAAACATTTTGCATATAAGAGTTTAAAAAAAAAAATTTCTTCTGTCAATGTGTCCTTTCAGGAACTCCTCGGGGGGGGGGGGAGGTTTAGTTTAACCTGGTTTAATGTTGTAAAAAATCTTTAACAACATTTGGCTATCTGATTATTAATCGAAAAATAATCAACAGATTGATCGATTTGCAAAACAATCGTTAGTTGTAGCCCTAATAAAAATAATAGCTTATGTTTTTAATTGCAGCTTAGATTTTAAATCGGCGTTAAGCTCCAATCCTGAAACCCATCTTCCTTTTATTCCTTACAACATGGAATAATTGTTACTTTGAAACTAATGTTTCCAAAAGACTAAACTTATTCTAATGAGAATGACCCACAAGATAAAGCTCTTTAAAAAAAACATAAACAGAGCAACTTTGCTGGGATATATTCAGCTCAGTCATCAGCTGACAATCTTTTCTTCGTATCTTGAATAGAAAGTTTAAACGTAAGTTTAAACTTGTTTAGTTCTTTTGCTTTTTTAAACACAGCACTGATTCAGAATAGGCCTCATGTCTATAGTCATTTTAAATATTTTGTATAATTCACTGATAAGGAACTGAATATATAGTTGAAATATAGCTTAATCAGTTTAGCATAGAACAATAAGATTGTGGTTGTTGGCCAGTGTCCTGTTGCATCTCATCCTTATTGAATTTCAATTCTTAGACTCAGTTCTATTTAGTTAAGCACATGAAATAAATGAAATTATTAAAATAAACTGTATTTTAACTTTAGAAAGCAGACCTAACATGGTCATAATAATCCTATAGACATATAGAGCCAAAAAGAGGATGTGCTTATTCTTGGATCAAATATCATTTTTCTTTAGTATCAAGTTGAACCTGGGTTAAAATGAAGGAACTTCAGTTAATCTCAATACTGACATAAAGACATCTAAACTGCATAGTAGTTGATTAAAGCCTCTGGTTGAAGGTTCTATTTTTTATGAAATGGAGATATTTCAGAGCCCAAATGTCTCACTGCAGAACTAACCTTTGTGTGTAAATGAATAAATGCACATGTACCATTAAGATAATTCAAATAACCTTAATACTTCATGCCATCTTTCTAGCTACACATTTTTTAATGCATTTGGTGCAAAATTGAATGCGGCGTTTGAATCTGTAAATGGTATCTCTCCACAGGTTTTCAGGATGATAATTTAGATTAGATGAGTAACTCAAACAAAGACCTAACACTGCATCTTAAACTTATTTCCTGTCACAGCAGCACCCTCTGGTGGTCAAACAAAGCCCAAGATGGCAACAGTTGGGGCCAAGCGCGAGGGACCGCAGTTCATCAGCGAAGTGGCCGTAAGGGGTAACGCGGCCGTGCTGGACTACTGCCGCACCTCCGTGTCCGCTCTTTCAGGAGCCACGGCCGGCATCCTGGGGCTGACTGGACTGTACGGCTTCATTTTCTATTTCCTCTCCTCCTTCCTGCTCTCCCTGCTGCTCATCCTCAAGGCTGGACGGAGGTGGAACAAGTGCTTTAAATCACGGCGGCTCCTCTTCACCGGAGGCCTCGTCGGGGGCCTTTTCACCTACGTCCTGTTCTGGACTTTCCTGTATGGAATGGTGCACGTATACTAAGACGATCGCCCACAATTAACCTTCATATGTTCCTGTTTGAAGTTATGTAAATCATTAGGTTTGTCTGGCCTGCTGTTTGTAGCACACCTCTGTAGTGAAAGCCTAAATGAGTAGATGTTTCACTGTAGGCAGGATTACGTGTCCTCCTTTTCCACTACACCTGCTCTGTGCTCAGCCCAGAGAGGCAATGACCACAATTAATCTCTTAGGTTTAGTAAAATCCTAATTAAGTCATGTAAGACATGAAGTTATTGCAACTGTGATTGGAATAAAAACATCTGTGCATGTTGCTTTGCATTTATCTGTTAATGCCTCGTACAGTAATTCAACATGGGTACATATGAACAAATGGAAGAAAAAAAAATTGTTGCCATCCATTTTGACACAGACAAAACTGAGAGTCTCTGCTCCAATATTTACATAATCAAATAATTTGTGGCCACTGGCTAAAATGAAAGTTGCAGATGGAAAAGCAGCAGCTCATAAAAACCTTTCACAAAACAGTGAACTGAAAAACATTTTTACGTGTTTCTTCCAAGTATGAACATACTTACTTTTACTGTGTCTGCAAGTTACATTCAGGAGCTTTCACATCTTAGGAGAATGGGGATATTCACAATTTTTTACCTTACAATGAACAGTAAATTCAGTAGCCAGGAGGAGAGGATCGGATTTGGCTCTAGAGAGACCAAGGATGTATATGAAGTAGATTTTTCTATGTAGCAGTTTAATGTATCGGTGCCAGGGAAAATGTTGACATCCAAAGGTTTGATGACGGTTTACAGGCAGCTGCTGCAGGATCTGACAAATCATCAATTCGCTGACTTTCAATCGGGGCTCCCGTTACAGGGTTGTATGAAGCTGGGTCCCTGTGTCACAATGATCAGCAGCCTGATTTTAAAGCATTGAAGCATACCATCTACCATGGTATAAAGAGTATGTACCTCATGATGCAACAATCAAAAATGCAACCTCTATAGGCGCTGTTAATGTTTCTGTGAGGTTACCTTTGTGTTATGACTGGCAGATGCTGTTGGAACTGCCTGTAGCTCAGCGCTTGACTTACAAAGCTACACCTGATATAAACATGCTAGCTCCCTTTGAGCCCAATCATTTCCAGTCCCATTAATCTGTTGCGTCCTCATATGGTTTGATGAAAAATAAAGATTTTTTTTCCAAAATATAAAGAAACCAAAACATCCATGTAGTTTTCCTCAAAAACCCAAAACATTGAACAGAATCATCAATAGCCCCGACGCTGCCACCTTTCTGGGTTATCAGCCCTCTGGTCTCTGTTGTGGGCTGCAGAGCACTGAGGTTTCCCCTGCGTGAATAAATCCTCAGTCAGCTCAGCCAGTGACTGGGCCAGCAGTCTGACACTGGGATCCACCACCTGCAGCGTTAAAGACACCTCTGGAGGCAGACTTCAGTCGCCTGCATTCCTAATTGTGTGAAGAGAAAGTGATGTGATGCTTTGGCACCGTGCCTTGTTTGGAGAGGACGGAGGAGTAGCGCTGCCCCGTGTTACGTGGAACGGTGGGACCCCGTTTCTCCAAGGCAGCAACGCTCTCAGCAGAAGGTTCCACTGTGAGTTCAGTTTCCTCCGGCGTTTTTAGGGAGTTGGCTGCTCCCTCTTCTGCTGCAGGTTTTCTGGATCTCTTATCTCGATTCCCATCCTTCTGTTTATTTTTCTCTTTTCTGTAAAAAAGAAAAACAGCATGGATTTGAAAAGCTTCAGTGAAAGGTGATGGGTAGGAGGATTAAGCCAGAGAGCCTTACTTAAAGTTGATTATTTCAAATTTCCTCTCTCGGTAGAAGGAGCTGGTGTTCATCATGTACAGCAGTATCATATCACACACAAAGGCTCCCTGTAAGACCAAGGATGTTTCAAAAAGCTGCAGAAGTTCATAATATTCCGGTTATGAAAATGTGATAGAGTGCCCTGCTGTCAAAATAAACTTAGATGAATTTTAAGATTCTAAGTAAAAAACCAACAAAAACACTGCTTAATTGTGATTTGGAAGGAAAACCTTACATAGTCTGACAGAAAGGGCAAAATGGAGACCAAGAAACTGCAACTGGTTTGGTTGAAAAGCAACATTTCGACTCAGAGAGCTCTGTTTAGTCCATCTGAAAATTAAAACAGCTTGGAAAAACTGCAAACTATTGTAGTGGCCAAGTGGACCATGGAGGCTCTGGAGGAGCTGCAAAGATCCACATCTTTTATCAACACTGCTACGATTAGCGATGCGTGCTTCAAATCTGGCCTAATGACAGAGTGTCAAGAAAAAGTCCTTTTTGTTGAATTAAATGTATTTGGAGGTTCAATCAAGCAAAGCTTTAGCAGACAGGAATAATGGGCCACGAGCAGAGAAAATAAAAAAATTATTTTCCCCCCGGAAAACAAGCATTGCATGAAATTCCTTTAAAAACAAACTGACATGGTGACGCTATCCTGGACCTGCTGTTCTTCAGAAAGAACAGATAGAAGTAGCTAAATGCTCTGAAATACTAATTTACTGGAAGGAAACCGGCTGGAGCCAGGAAAATGTTCCAGCAACAACTCTAGACATATCTTTAGAGCTAGAGTGGAACTGCTTAGATTAAATATTTATATATCAGAATGTCGTTTTAATGAAGTTTTAAAAATTGCTGTTAACAGATGCCATCCAATCAGACTGAATTCAAGATTTTTTTGCAGATAAATTAGGAATTTTTTGACAGAATTAAAAAAAAAAAGTCAGACTGAATAGTTTTCTTTAAAAATGCTAAAACTAGGTGTAGTTTTCCTTCCCTTCTACAACAATGCGTTACATTTAACTGGTCTATTTCATTAGATGGAATAAAACCCCCTAAAGTATCGATCTGTAATGTAACTCAATGTGAAAAACCTAAGATGGATAAAGCATGTTTGTATCGCGGTGCCCGATAAATGCATAAATAATTTACTTACTATACCCATCAGAGCAACACCAGAGCCAATCGCAATTATTGTGGGAACGATGTTGAACTTCCCAGCCTGCAAAACATCAATATGATAATTTTTAAAGGAAAACATCCACGTGGTTAAGTACTGAACACTATACTATTATTACTAATATGTGTTTGGACAGATCACTTGGTTTGTGTTGACAGTTTCTTTGAATTTTATTTCAATTGCCCTTTAGAAAGATTAAATGCTCTGTTCAAAATTTTTTTAACCCACTGTTTTCATAACGAAATGCTAACGTTAAATTTTCACCTTTCCGTTTATCATGATGTCGAATCGAATCCCATACACCTTGTATAGTGTGCGATAAGTTTCTCCCTCTGGATCTTTGTAGTACCTTGCATATCTGGAGGGGAAAGGTAATAAATGTGTTAAAAAGGAGAAAGGGAAGCAGAATAGAAACCATTTAAAGGACGCACCTGAAGTTGTAACCTGATGAGACAGAGTTGTTCAAATTCATGTCCAAACGGGTGAAGCTGTACTTCGGATTGCACTGTGAGGCGTCCTTATCCAGATCGCAGTTCCACTCTATGAGGATACCGATAGAGCCGCCCTGACAGACAGAGTTAGCTTATGGTTAAACCACTCAAAGGAGTCGTCACCCGGGATTCTGACTCTTTGATGTTAAAAATGCTGCTGATGTTCAGGTAAAACCTGACAGACAATCCAGAGTCATACAGTGGCTTGTTTTTTTATTTTTTATTTTTTCATGTGGGCTCTTTGTTTAAACCAGAAAAGCCCACAAGAGCTCGGTCTATACAGAAAACAATTTTGGTCCTTCTTGATCAGTGTAATTAATGTTTCTATTGGTGCTAACATCAGCCTGGTTTGCTATCTGCAGATCCCTCTCTATGCCACCAAATGAGACAATTCCAACTATCATAGAGTCACCTGCAGGCAGTCGGTAACAGGGGCAGCTCTAGAAAATGTTCATAGGGGGGCCAATATGCACTTAGGGGTAAAAACTAAGGCACCTTCAGACAGAACACATTGTGAGCTTTCTATTAAATGAGAATCTGTAAATATTTATACATCAGTGCTTCTTTAAATGAATTTATGGTTCTACATAATATATATTATATATATATATATATATATATATATATATATATATATATATATTAAAACAGGTTGATCAGTTCTTGATTTATAATTGCATAGAAGATTCCTACATGACTTCAGAGACAAACTCTTCCCTCATGAAACAAACATTTGTATCAGAGCAGGATTTCTGCATTGGTCCCCTATAATTGTAGTATACTGCTGTGAATATCTAATTGCTTTTTTTTTTGTCAGTTTTTGGTTAATGTACAAACTTGAAAATGTCAAAGTAGAACGTTCAACGTGGTGGCATCACTGCTGCCACCTTCTGGTTTGAAGGAGAATTGCTTGTTCCAGAGGCAGTAACTTAAATTCACATGACTCCAACCATTGGTTTATAAATTGTCAAAGTATTCTAAACGCTCCACGACTAACTGCTAAGGTTGCTAACGCTACATCCATATGAGTGCACGGAAACACACAGGTCAAATTCTTGTGCATATCCCCGTGAGAACAAAAAGATGTTAAAAAATGTGAGAAACTACTCCATTAATTTTTTAGTCTGTTAAAATAGGTGAAATATATATTTAATAATTAGTATACAAGTCTAATACCAGATTATGAGTGCTTTTAATAATCTCAAATCAAGCAGCATTGGATTAAGAAAGTCAAGGTTAATGCTGGAGGATCCAGAGTCACGGGATGTGAAGAAATAGAGTAGGCTAAATGAATAGTGATCAAGTCTGTTAATGTAGTCAATTAAATGCAGCTATTTAAAACCTAAAACCCCTCTATCAGCCATAAACATTTCCTTTACACATTTAAGAAGGTCTTTTTATTTTTCTTAAACAAAATTTGTAAAACTATGGATTTGGCAGCTACAGACAGAAGAACGCAGAGACACAGAGAAATGGCCAAAATGAACAGACCAGCCAGGATAGGAGGCAAAATAAAAATCCAGGAACAAGCTGACAGTGTACTCTATGCAAAACTCCACTACTTCCTGAATTTAAGGCAGCTCTTTTGTTTCCTGTCTTTCATTACTAGATGAACAGATTAATATAGGTGTGTCTGGTGATGGTTACNACTCCACTACTTCCTGAATTTAAGGCAGCTCTTTTGTTTCCTGTCTTTCATTACTAGATGAACAGATTAATATAGGTGTGTCTGGTGATGGTTACACCTGGATTAATCTGTTCATCCAGTAGAAAAAGACAGGAAACTAAAGAGCTGCATTAAATGTCTGTTATAAGTCTTAAATATCTACCAATCACTGTACCAAACAACCTCAATAAGTTGTTACGTTCCTGCTGATTTTTGTACAGTTTCTGTCTGAGTTAAATAACATGCTGCTGTCATTTTGCACATCTGTGGTGTTTCTGCAGCTTTTTTCACATATCCATTACGGTAACTGTCTCTAACATTATGCTATGCTATGTTTTTTTTTCATGGTAGCCTTATCTGTTCTGTTCTTGTTTGGCTGTGACTCCATCCTGGAGAGAAATATCAGCCGTGCTGCTGCCATCAACACCTTAGTTCATAGATGTTTGAGATCGGCCTGTTTTTTTCTCGTGTAGTCCCGTTTCTCTGACTGTGACTAGCTGGATGTGCTCTCTTCATCCTCTGACATGGGAGCTGGCTCAGAGCTCGTCTGCCTGGCTGTGTGTTTGTATCTCTGCTTCTGTCTCCTTGAACCCCAGTCGGCCTCGGCAAATGGCCGCTCACACTGAGCCTGGTTCTCCTGGAGGTTTTTTCCTATTAAAAGGGAGATTTTTTCTCTACACTGTCGCTACAAGCATGCTTAGTGTGAGGCATTGCCTTTGAATCAATGAGTCGATGCAATCAACTTGATTTCCTAGATAGAAAACTTTGAATCAATTTGACTGGATGATCTGGTTGAAATCTGAAGTGCCTTGAGATGACATGTGTTGTGTATTGGCGCTATATAAATAAACTGAATTTAATTGAATTAAAAATGTCCACAGCTTTATATTCATTAGTCTCCAGATACACAGTGTTTATATTGCAAAAACACTATACAGTACAGTATTTTATTTCTTTATTTTTTAACTCTGCCACTTATTCTATTATTTTTATACACTTTTAGGGTCCACATTTGTGTGACCATTTTTTGCTATAACCTTTTGCTGCTGAAACACCACAATTTCCTCATTGAGGGACAAAAAGGGGATTTTTTTATTCTATTGTATTCTATTTGCTATTTCATATAGAGGAAGGAGTGGAGTTGTGCATAGAGCCCATTAGATATTTTTTTCTATATCAGCTCTGGGCAGTGATCACAGCCACTTCTTTAAAATAATATATCTTTGATAAATTCAACAATTTGTAATGTTCCTGTACTGGTTTCAATAAAACCATTAGGGCAAACAAAACTATAGCCAAGGGGCAAAGTCTCTGACATAAAACAATGGCTAATAGTTAACTATACTCAGTGAAACCATCCATGGCCACACAAACTCTTGCATACAATTTTCATCCTTCAACAAAAAGCACATCAGCATAAGATGCTGAACTGAACACCTTAGGAATGCTATGAGAAAAATCAGTTCCCTCTCTCTCTACCTTTATGGCCATTTCATGGAAGTCGTGTCCAGTTCTGCTGACCAGATCTCTGAGGCGGAAGATGGGGCAGTAGGGGTGATTCACATCATCATGGAAGCATCTCTTTAGGTAGCCTTCATCAGACGTTTCAAGGACATTTGACCTAAAAATTAAAGAAAGCAAATATAATTTAACCCCCCCACTTTCTTTTGCATTTTATTCCTTCACTAATTTATCTTCTGATATGTTTCCCCTCATTCAACATCCTGCAGAATTTGTGTGCATGTTACAGAAAGTGATTTATATGAATAACTGACTGCAAGCTTCTTTAATCTCAAGCAATCCAACCTCCGAAGATTAGCTGCAAACTTTAAAAAGTGTTGAACTAGTAATATTTCTTATTTAAGACCTGCTGTAACCAGAATACCCACTCCAGCAGCAGCATACAGGATTCCCAGTGTAACTGAACGCGTCTCGCTGTCATGGGTGTAGTGTTGCCAGCCGTTTTTAGTGGCAATTATCAAGTGGCGTCAAATGACTTCCATACTCCCATCATGTCCCGGCGTATTGTGGTTAATAAAGAAGATGCATTTGAAGATGGATTAGGCACGGCCATCAGGGCCGCTCTGCTCTTCTAAAGGGACGCGGACAGCAAACATCACCCGGCTGGGGCATGGATCCAGCTCTCTGGGCAAACCCCGTCTGATCTAACACCTGTCCACACCGAGGGCCGCTGTCAAGGACGTCTCAGATGACTGTTTCACTGTCTCGCTGGGAGCAATGCACAGCCCAGTATAAATAGAGGACTCGGCACCCCAAAGCTATTTAAGGCAGCCATTGAAATATGTATAACCCCCGCTGCTCCATCTCACTCTATGCTGCAACGCTTTAAGAACCTCCTCAGTGGACACTTATAGCTACTTACTTTGAGAATTCAAATTTGGGGAACCTGATGAAGTTCTTGATGTAGATGGTGAAGTTTTCTGCTTCGCTCAGTAAGGGCCCTCTGGGGACACAAATAGAAAAGGGGGCTTTTTGAGGACAGCTAAAAGAAAGTGCAGGGGCTGCATTTGAAATGACACCTCTGGTGTATTTCTGACGGATATGAGTGAGTGTTAAGACAGCAGCACACAGCAGGAGGAACCTCACGTTGGTCTCTGGCTATATTCAACAGGACACCAAGCATGGATCTCACAGGTCCCCGTGTTGTTCAGGCACAAACCGGTCTTTATTCCTGTTAGACACAACATCACTTCATTTCAATAGAGCACTTATAGTTGCAATGGAAAGTTAAAAGATAATAAAACAGAAAGAATCTCCAGTATCTACAAATAAATGTCAAACTTATAAAAAATAAAAAAAAAACAGCAGCATCTTCCCCAACCGGGAAATGGCTTTTTTATCTCAAAGGACATTTTTATTCAAAACTAAAGTTGCTAATTATAATATTTTAGCAACATTATTTTTTAATATTTTACTTTCAAAATTTGATGATTAGAAGCGGATAACTAATAATTTAATTTAAGTTGCTTTAACAGGTAATCTGCCTTGGTTGTAAATAGGTTTAAACAATAAGCCACAGCAGCCCTCAGCATCACGCTTCTGAACACGTCCGTCACAGCAAGACAAAAATTGGTTTTCCACAAATAGATTTTATTTGAATGTAAAAATAAAACACGTTTCATTCAGTAATTTTAGGCCCAGCCCAAAACACAGAGAGGTGCACAAGTATGTTTTCCCCCAGTTTGATTCTGTTATTTATTGTTTTTAGACAGAATTCAAACATCTTTCATTGCATTTCTATTCCCTAATTTTTCAGTTTCACATTTCTTAACTTGTTTTAGTTTTTTTACATTTCAGTAAAACTATGTCACCCCTGAAACTTCTTAAAGAGAAAGTCAGATGATATCTGTAGATTCTACAAATAATACAGATTTATTTGAACGGAATAAACATAAGAATGGGAAGCTCTTAAGCTTAAAATATAACATTTTCTGTTCTTTACATTGCAGAGTTTTGATTTAATCACTACCACTAGTAGTAAAACATTTTCAAGTATGATGGCTGATTTAAAAAAAAAAAAAAGAAAATTTTGAAAACTCCTTAAACTTTTTGAAAGGAGTCATACCACAGGGGTGTTTAATCTATAATGATCTGAAGCATTTTTAAGTTTTAATCCAAACCTAAAAATGCACAGCTATTGCAAATACCAATATATGTAGTACCTCCATATTGGCTTCAAATGGTTAAATTACTGTATTTTTAATATGAATAATGAGAACTTTTAAATCAGTATTTTGCATTAACTAAATTCAGACTAGTTGGAGTAATTTTGTTTTATAGACAAACATTTCTCAAAAATTGTAAAATTTATAGTTGCAAAGTTTCAGACTCCACAATGAACGATCTTTACCGTTTCCAGCTATAACACTTTCCCCCTCAGGGCAGTCGTCGTCGCTTTGACACCGTCCATCTGGTACTTTGATGCTCTGAAAGGTAGAAAAGGTCTTTGAGAATAAAAATGGTATTTAAAAAAAAAAAAAAAAAAAAACAGCATAAAGAAATCTCACCTCAGCGCAGAATCCCAGCCTCTGATTTGGGGTCTCTACATAATTTGTTATTACAAAAAACACCTGCTCACCCTGCAGAATTCAATTAGATTGAGGAAAGGAAAGAAAAAAAGGTTAATCCCATTACAAACCAGGAGAAGCTCAATACTGTTCAATCAGTTTAGATGGAGGCTAATGCTACATGACAGATAAAGACAGCCTTCCTTTGGGGTTTGGTGGCAGACAACGAGACGCTGTCATTAAAACCTTTTCCTTCAAATTATAAACATTGACTTCACAGGGATTTTACATGATAAACCGTCATAAATTAGTGCAGTACTGTATATTTAAAGGGAAATGACTGAGGTTTCAATATGTTATACAGAAATGTGCATTATCGCCACATCCCACATGACTTTAATAATCCTGAATAAAATCCACACAGATTTCCCTCACAGATTTAAGTCTCTAAACAACAAACAAGATATTCTGCAAATAGCTCAGATGTTTATTAGAGAACATCAATGAATAAAAAGCATCATTAAGACCAACGATCACTACACTGTTCAAATCACCAGCAAAAAGTGGAAGGACAGGCCGGCCAAGGAGAGCGTTCAATGAGAAGGATGCAGAGAGGCACAGCTGGAGGAGCTGACTGGACAAATATGACATTGTTGTCGGAAAATTTAGATTTTTCTTATTTCATATATTAATTTATCCTATTTACTCACTATAAAGGTTTTCGCTCAGTCTGTTTCACCTTTAAGGCCACATAATTCTCTGTGTGAGTATGTTTATAGACCAGACATAGCTTCTTTCCATACCAAACCACATTCTTTCTCAAGGTTTATTCATAACATGTTACTGTTTAACCAAAGTGTCTGTAATCTGTTTTGTCTCTAACTACTTTTCCATTGTTGTGAGTAAGGGGGAACAATCGCTGCTCTTGCAGAACAGGGCAGAATGCTGTGCCTTAAGGTTTGTATGATGAACTGTTCTCTCTTTGCAAAGATATGAATAAATCTGCCGACTGAGTGAAATCCATCAATCTCCGTTTATTTAACTAGGGTGAATGGTTGAATACTTTTTTCCCAAAACAGACATCTATCCTGCATAAGAACCATAGATTTGTCTTTGGTCCAAAAACATCTGAATCAAATGGCTGAAATATCTCTGCAGCATGCAGTCAGTTTCTCTAGAGTAATCTTAATCTTCTAATAAATTGATTCAGGTATGTTGGAGCAAGGACATATGTAAAGGTTGGGTCATTTTCTATCAATGCAGCATGGGTACGCCCCAAACACTGACCTGCTTGACCAAAAAACTAAACGTCCCATCCTGGGAAAACCAACAAAAAAAAACAAAGCACATCATCCTAAAAACCTCATCCCAGCATGGTGGCAGTAGCATCATGCTGTGGAGACTGAAAGGCTGGAAGTAAAGGTAGGATAATCCAGAGGGGATATCAGTTTGGTGGAGAAGACTTAAATCTGGGACAGATGTTCAACATCTGGCACCGTACAGCTGCAGTACATCAGGAGTTACTTCCTGCCACTCTTAGATTCACTTTTCTCCAACACATCTAAACCAAAGGGCTGAATTTCCTCATCAGCATGTGGCTACGCTCTGCAGAGACCTGGCACGGAGCCATTGATCTGATTCAGCTGTGTTGGAGAAGACATGCATTTCAAACTGAAGGACAGAATGCAGTTTCATTTAGACATCCAGTAAAAAGCTCCTTAAATATCATTAAAAACACTGAAAAAGAATCATTGCAGGGAGGGTTTGCTGAAGACTGGGTTTTAGAGATCCTGGGTTATAGTCAAAGCATATTCGTAAGGTGGCGGCCTAGTCAATGTCAAGGCCTAAAAACACACATATTCCCTGTTCAATATAAAAAAGCTTTGAGCTACTTGTCAAAGTAAAATCTCTTGGGCTTATAGCTCAGAGTGACACCAGTTCATCAATTTTTGTTCTTAGATGTTTGCTAATAACTGATAAACTAGCTCAATGTGAGATTCAACTTGCTCTAAACATTAAGAGTGCTTTATTTTTCAATGTTCTTTGTGAAACACAATGAATTTACAGCATTTTTCACAGCTTGATAATTGCTGCCCTTTAAAATGAAGCCCATCTCCCCCAAAGGGGAAGATAAAACCTCATTTTTAAAAGCAGTATAGGTCATTTAAATTTTTTTATTATACAATTTAAGTGAGGGAGAAAAAAAAAAGTTTAATTGGATGAGATTTTTAAACCATATCACCCAGCCCAATGAACAAAGTGGTAGATGCATACTGATAAAAAAAAGCTATAAATGCATTTAAAATGAAGTCACAGTGCATTAACTTAATCGTTTTCATAATTGATTTTTTCCTTATTTTTCTATAGTTTAAGGTCTATTAAAATATGTTGAAGTTTGTGGTTAAAGTGTTAAAAAGGTTTAAGGGGAATTATTCCTTGTAGAATGGAGGTCTTCAACAGGGGGTCCATGAAGATACTGCATGGGGGTTGCAATAAGTTTTGGTTGATTAGACTTGTTTTTATATCCCCCCTGCAAATTTTTCCACTAATTGAAATGTCTTTAAATCCACATTAACATGAATTCAACACACTGTAGTAAACAGATAAATGGAGGCAGAAGATGTCTTTCATTCATCAATGCTCACATTCAGCGACACACAGGAGCTCTTTCAAGCTGGGCACCGTTTCATTCACAACACCTGTCCCATCAACCAGGAATCAGAATCAGAAATACTTTAATAATCCCAGGGCCAAATTACTTTAGTTACTTTACGTCTGTAATAGAGTGACTATAGGACCAGTTTGATTTAACACAATTTCATGCAATATATATAATTATGGGGTCCCTGCTCCATCTCATCATCAGTTTGGGGAACCCTAAGCCTGGAAAACGTTGAGGACCCCTGTTGTAGAAGGAAGACAGACTCACATTCGGAGGGATTACGTAATCCTCTGGACTCCACAGGTAAGGTCCAGTCTCTGAATGGTTGGTCAGAGACACACCTTTAAGCTTGGTGATGACTGAAGCCTGAATGGCCTCCTCTCTCTCCTGGTACCCTTTCTTCATCACAAACACCCACCTGAAACATCATCATCATCAGTCACTGTGTTTTCAAACATTTTTCTGTGTTATTAGCTGTCAGGGGCCATATTGTTCTCTGGTGGTAACATGTCCAGGAAGAACATTGTTTACAGAGTCTTTGCAGAAGCCAGGGTGCAGCTGGTTAGAAATGATTTGTCTATGCAGATGCATGTCCCAGGAGCTGCACAGTGCATGAACCTGAGCCCTGCATGCCATTAGGAAAACCACTTTACAACAGCCACAGTCATTCCTCTGGACTTTGGAATAAAGATGACTCTACATTTAGTTTTATTTCATCTACTTTAGAGAGCATCCAACCGAATCAGTTATTTATTTTCACAAATCCTAAAATAAACTAACCTTCATCTAAACTAAACATTAATAATTATTTGTTACTCGGACGTCACCAGCTGTTTTAAATTGTCTCATAATATTTCCTATTTTTAACTTAGTCGTGAACTCTCTGCGTCTTTAATCCACGCAACAGATCTCACCCGATAATGTATCCGAGCACGGCCAGCTGATAGAGGCGAAACAATATCCCGATCTTCCTGTTTTCGGCGATGACATATTTCTCCGTCTTGTAGTTGAGGAGAGAAAAGAAGAAGCCTCCCCAGCCAGCCATTTGTCGCGGCTGTGTGAAGCAGAGTGAGCAGGCAGGCTGTGTCTACCCGCTGATCAGCTGCAGCTGGGTCACCTGTCAGCGGAGGGACAGCCAGGGGCCGCTCCTGGCAGCCTGGGGCACCCGGGGCTTTATTTCACGCTCAGGATAGTTTTACAGGCGAATCCTGAAAAACATGAGATGCGAACATTTTTAAAAATGTTTATCTCACATTTCAAAAGTGAAACTCATGTTATCTAGATTCATAGGCGCGATCACATACGGACCCCTAGAGGCGGTAAAGAACCCAACCCCAGGAACCACCACC